AGATAGATAGATAGATAGATAGATAGATAGATAGATAGATAGATAGATAAGCAGATATGTGTTGCAATTTCATCTTGATAGTTATGTCATTTTGGCCACTCCCTATAAAATTGTGCCCCCCTAACTCTGCTTTATTATAAAGATTGAATTTCGAGATGTAACTGAGAGGAGCCACTGAAATATTTCAAATATGCATGTGCTTCCAATCTTTCTCTGTCAATTCAGGTCTGTCTGTCATGCGCTTTGTCATACTCTCTGGATATATTGCATAGGAAATAGCATTCAAGAGTGTGTATAACGTCTATTTGTAATGGCTGGTATGCTATGCTATTCTACAAAGTGCACTTATAAATAGTGATGTCATCTTCTTGGGGTTGTTTTTACTGTACTGTATTAGAAAATAAGATTACTTTTGAGTTTCACTATCAGATGCATTGACTACATTAAGCACAGAGATCAAAAGTTCTCAATTTCCATATGCAGTTCTCCCATATAAAGAAGCCTAAAATTGCTGGGCATTCTATCCTTCTTTGCAAATTATTTATATAAATACTTTCCCCAATACTTTACGTCAAGTCATTCTGCAGTCTCATCTAAATTCATGAGCTTAAAATCACATAACCTGCGTACAATATTATGGCTTGAACTACCAAGGAATTTTGAGATGATGACTCTGCCAGAACATTTGGGATTTATTTTGCTGTTGTATTTTTTTTTCTTTCTTTATCAGACCAGTTTTGCTCACCAAAGCTATAGTTTCTTGAGCTGTTTGTGGACTTGATTACTTCATAGAATCCAGTTGCCATGTGGATTTCACATTTCAATTTATTGTAAACACATCCTCTGTGAAGTGGGAAAATCTGCCTTCTAAATTCGAGAGATTGTAGTCTGCTAACTTTCAGCTCAGTTCTTCTACCAGCAAGTTCTCCCTTCTTTTCAGAAGCTGCTATACAATATATTTGCAGAGCAATAAAAAACATTGCATTTGCTAGTAATTAACAATTACCTAGCTTGTGTATAAAGTAATGAAATATATCCAAGCAATATAGGGAAAAATACAGGCATAAGTTGTATGAGTTGTTTTTCTAAGGTATTGTTATTCTAAGGTGTTGAAACCTTAGGATTTCTGTCTTTGAGTAGACAGGCAGAGAAGGAGCAGGCAATATAGTGCTCATAAACAGCAATACATCCACTAACTTTTCACTTGGCATCTATTAAACTTTCTGATGCCAATGATCTTCATCTTTTAAAACAATCTTTTAATTAAAAAATGAATGACAAGCTGAAAGACATTTTTGTTTTGTGACTGGCCATGCCTAGCATTGACAAAAAAATTTGAAGTCCACCAGTCATGATTGCCAACAATATGCTGTCCATGTTCTACATGTGTCCAAGCATGAAGTATCTCAGATGCAGACAGTAGCTTCTAGTACTGTTGGCTTGCCAAAACTAGAATTTCATAGACTCACAGAAAGTTATGAATCGAAAGAAATCTGCAACTAAGTCCAATTCATTGCTAGAATGGCTAGCTAGTTTGTTCAAAAAAGTACAGAGAAGAAATCCATAACTGTTTCTTCCTAATGACTTTTACTATCACAAAGTTCTTTTTAATATTTAGACTAAATGCTCTTTGTTTTATGGTTAATATTATAGGAAAGGCCTTTCCGCTGGGAATATCCTTCACATAAACCAAATTGCATTACAAGGAATGTATATACCAGTTGCAGTGGTGGGATTCAATTTTTTTTACTACTGGTTCTGTGGGTGTGGCTTGGTGGGCGTGGCAGGGGAAGGATACTGTAAAATCTCCAATCAGAGGTGGTATTTGCCGGTTCTCCAGACTACTCAAAATTTCCCCTACCAGTTCTCCAGGACTGGTCAGAACCTGCTGAATACCACCTCTAACCAGTTGGATAATCTCCCTGAACACCCCCTCCCCAAAAAGAGATGAATCATCTCCTTGAACTCACTCCTCCAAATAGTCATCAGTATTAATACACTAACCCCAAGGAGCACAGGATGCAAAAGTTATATGTGAATTTTAGAACAATCATACTATTGTTTTTTTAATTGAATCAACTAGTGCTGAAAAGTATGCATATATTGCACAAATTTTGTTTTACCCATTCCATTTTATTTATTTGTACATACATTCATCTTACTAAAAAGACCTCAAACATTTAAAAACATTTGTAAAAAAACTGGTGATTAGTAACTTTATTAAGGTTAGCTGATAACCTTGTGATTATGAGCATCATTTCCCCATTCAACCTGAATCCCTCCCGACACTTAACACCCCTGGTTTCTCCAAAGCTTACCACATTAAATGAAACCATGTATTTATTTATATATGTCAAATTTAGAAACTGCCCATCTCCTTCACAGAGCAATTCTGGGTGGGGGTACAAATGAAATCAAAAGCATTTATTTCCCAAAGTCAAAATTTTGCCATAGCTTTATTTGTCTTCACCCTGGACCACAGCAATGGGACATGTGGTACTTGTCCACAGTCTTAAAGTCTGCATATTCGGTGGTAAGCTATATAGAACTTATTTTTAGTAATGCTTCTTTATTTGGTCCAAGTAATAGCAGCTTGAGATGCAGAAAAGTTTTTCTGGCAACATAGGGCCAAAAATAATGGGAAAATTTCATTGGGATCACAAGCAGAGGTTGCCTACAGATGGGCACCAAGTTACAGACAAAAGTGTCATTCCTAACCTTTGCAAGTTTTGTCATTTTTCAGCCGCTTCTGGTGAAATGGGAAAAATAAAGTTTGTTTCTCTCCCCACTTCTGGATTCACGAGTATGTTTTACTTTAATTCCAGACATAAGGGTATAAAAATAACTCCTTCACCTCCCTTCATTTCCTCTCCATTGTAATTCTCCACACACCCTCCCCCAACTGCAGTTGTGTTAAATCGGAGCTCCGCTGAAGAAAAGGCTGTGAATGTTATCTTGGAAGTTGCACTTCTGGCGCCTCTACATAAAACCAGCCAGCGATCATTCAAGAGAGACAAATTCTCGAACAGGCAGCCTGAGGCTGAAGCGGGGTGGGGAGGGGGAGACAGAAGCGCTTTTCCTTTGGGGAAAAGGAAAAAAAAAGTATTGCTATTAAAGTTTCAGGACTCACCCGCTTCCCTGGTTTCCCATCGATGTTTTCATCATCCCAGCCAGAATCTGAAACTTCTGCTTTCAGAATCCTTGTAAGTTTTCTTTGTGGAGAAAGTTACACCTTGGCATTTCCGTCAAAACTTTCACGCCTCTTGACCGCCCCTTCCCCCCGGATTAAAAGAAGAAGAATTGCAGATGATGGGGTTCGGCAGAATAGAAAGGGAAGCTTTTCCTCACCGCTGTTTCAATTGACTCCCAAACGCTCTGAAAAGAACATGATCTTTCTTTTCTACTTCCTGTATTTATGTGAACAGGGGCTGTCAGGAAGAGGCAGTCCTTGGTGGTCAAGGGTGATTTGTTTTCTTTCCTCTACTTTTTTTTTCTAACAGGCCCATTTTTAGTCATAAACCTTAACTCTAATGGTTAAAGGCAAAAGGCCTGTGATGATTAGTCACCAGCTCTGTACCTGCTTTTTCTTTTAAGTCAGAAGAATCCATGAGTTCATCTGGCTTGCAGGTACATTATGGTTCTAACTAGGTATAGTAAGTCCTGTAAATTTTAAAGAGTTTTGTACAACCGAGCAATATCCATCTGCAAATTCCTGAGCCATGTATGCAAGGGTGTAACTGGAACCAGATGGAGTCTGGAAACCTTCATGTTTACGTAGGACCTGTGAGAATGGAGTACTTCATGCTGGGACACCACTTTTCCAATGATGTTGGATCAAAATATCTGAGCTTGCTATTACATGATGAACTAGTATCTCATTAGCAAAAGTCCTGATCTGCAGCCAACTAACATTTTTCTTTGGAATGTATGATCCTTGTTCTGAAAGCGTTACACAACCTGGATGACAGAGAAGGATGACCCACTCTCATGTGCCAAAGGCATTTGCCCCTCCTGATCCCTATAAAGCTCTTTGAAGTCAAGTGTATTGTCTTCATGACCACTAACCTTGAAATATTATTCAATGGAACAGTAGAAAAGAGCAAAGACCAGCATTCACCCATCATGAACCACAGCCAGTCTCAATATCTCATTCTCCAACTCACACAAAAGGGAAAGCAATATAGTCTTACAACTTATACTATTGGATTCTCACTGTGGACCTGGTGCTCTTCTTTAGTTGTAATTTAGCTCGAGCCTTGCTTCTATAAAGGCTTCAATGCAATCCTGCCAATTAAATACTGGCTAAAATTGGCCTCTTGAGATGGTTCTTAGTAATCTTAATTGATAACTCCAAGAATTATTCCCAGACTTCAATTATTATGGCTTGTCAATCCAATTTTTGATGATGTCAAGGGCTGAGAGAGACTTCCTAGAGATTAAGCAGCAAGTCCTTGGCCATAGAATAGAATAGAATAGAATAGAATAGAATAGAATAGAATAGAATTCTTTTATTGGCCAAGTGTGATTGGACACACAAGGAATTTGTTTTGGTGCAAATGTTCTCTGTATACATAAAAGAAAAGATACATTCGTCAAGAGTCAAGAATCATAAGGTATAACACTTAGTAATAGTCATAGGGTACAATAAGCAATCAAATAATACTAGGAAGCAGTCCATATAAATCATAAGGATACAAGCAACAAAGTTACAGTCATACTGGGAGTGGATGGGCAATAAGGAGTGATGAGAAGATTAATAGTAATAGTAGTGCAGACTTTGTATAAATAGTTGGACAGTGTTGAGGGAATTATTTGTTTAGCAGAGTGATGGCATTTAGGAAAAAAACTGTCCTTGTGTCTAGTTATTCTGGGGTGCAGTGCTCTATAGCGTCATTTTGAGGGAAGGAGTTGAAACAGTTTATGTCCAGGATGTGAGGGGTCTGTAAATATTTTCACAGCCCTCTTTTTGACTCCTGCAGTATACAGGTCCTCGACTGAAGGCAGGTTGGTAGTAATTGTTTTTTCTGCAATACTAATTATCCTCTGAAGTCTGTGTCTGTCCTGTTGGGTTGCAGAACCAAACCAGAAACTATAGAACAATAGAAGCAAAGTTCCTTATTAGAAATACAGCCTATATGATGAACCTTACATTACTTTTGTACTTTTATCATTAGAATTCCACTTAAATGAGATTTTATATTAGCCAAAGTCAACAATTTTTCATTGATGGCAGTAAGAACCCTGTTTGGAAGATGGAATGAAGCAAGAATTCCCATTAATAGATCAGTACCCTACCTCACCCCTAAGCTCTCTGGAGTTTCAGAATTTCAAAAAGAAACATACTATTCAATGCAATTTAAAATATCCTGCAATTGTACTAGAAATAAATTAAATTAGAAAAGGGTAGAGGATCACACAAATATAATGATAAGGCTATGACAATGAAAAAACTCTGTCAATAAGTAACTCTAGACTTCCTTTCACGTAATTTGATTCCCATCACCATCACCTTGCTATAGCTGTCTCTCCCACAATCAAAAGTAAAATTAGATATCTTTTCTCTCTCTTGTTCCTCATGAGTATCTCTACTACCCCTATCTTGATTAGATTCATAGAGCATGCTAAGGCTAAAATGTAATTTGCTAGTTTGTGTTTCACTGAATTCTTGAACCCAATCAACTTTTAGTTGATTGCTGACTGCACTTAAGTGTGTGCTTTATGAATTCAGTAAAACAGTGTAACCAAGATTTAGCATGCTGTATTAACAGAATCACAATCTGATATGAATATTCCAGAGGGGAAAAAAATACTTCATGACCCCAACAGGACTTTACAAACAACAATTAAACCAGTCAAATTGGTTACTTTGGGGAGAACTGCCTGAGACAGAACCCACCTGCAGTTGAGAAAATGCAGATTGTGGAAGGCTATCAGTTCAGGAAGAGCAACATAATAAATGCCCCAAATCCATCTCTCCATTCTTTGCTGCACAAATACACCTGCATGTAACACCTTCCACATAAACAGATGTGGTCAAGGACAACCTGAAAACATGCAAGTGAATTAAATAAACCACAGATCATACCACATCTTTCCCTGTGGTCCTCTTATTGTATCCTGTAACATCTTCATTCTGGAAGGCTCACAAGGGCAGTTTAACCTTCTGCTAAATGACCTTCTGCTAAATGCACAGTTGACCCAAATGTAGAGACCCGTATCTCCATGAAATCTGCCACTTTTAACACTTGCAGGGCAAATTTCGTAATATACTTGACAGTTTTTCCAGTTCTTTCAATACACTTTGTGCAGTGAGACAAATTCCACGATTCTTCATCTCCTCCCCAGCTGAGGAAGATTACTCATCTCTAGCTGTTCCCGTTTTTAGTTGTTCAGAAAAATGTTCCCCTCTTCTTGTGACACAATTTTGGCCTCAGATTCAATGTAACGCTCTTCATCATTGTGCTTACCTTTGCAGTTTAGGAGCAGGACCTGTTGCCTCTTTTAGGCTGGCACTTTCTTACTTGGGATCATCTTTCTAGAGTGCTGGCCCTGTTTAAAAACAGGATTAATGCTTTTCTGAGAGCACACCAGTGCTTTGCTGTAGAGAATCAAATTTAAACCAGGAAAGGGAAACAGGTTTTGAAAGCTATTTATTGCTGCTTCTTGTCACTATCGGGAGAGGGGTGGTATTATATATAGGTTTTCCAATGCTTCTGCCATTGTGTGTGAGTATATGTTTCACACACCCGTCGCCTTTCTTTTGTTATTGCATTTGTATTTTTCCTACCTCCAGTTAGGGCAGCAAATTTATGCCAGCATAACTATTCTGCCAGTTTAAAGATTGAAGGATGCACTTTAATGAGGCCAATTGTTCTGTACAGCAGAGGTACCTAACCCCTGGTCTGACACCAGGCCGTGGCATGCCAGCAAATAAGTGAAGCCCTATCCACGGGATGCAGGCAGCATGCAAAAATATGCCTCATCCAGACCACGGATAAACCTTTCTCCGTGGAACTGGTCCCTGGTGCCCAAAAGGTTGGCGGCTGCTGCTGTACAATATCCACCCAGAGAGTCTCAGATTTTAATTCAAAGTCCCAAGCAATATTCAGAAAAACAATTTGATGGCCTATTTTAAAAATGTTATTAAATATATATTTGTTTGTTTTGGGCTTAATACGATGGCCACTTTTTCTTTAATTTTTTTCTTTAAATGTTATTGGTGATTTACTATGGTGGTGCAGTAGCTAAAATGCAGTACTGCAGGCTACTTCTGCTGACTGCCAGCTGCCTGAAACTTGGCAGTTCAAATCTCACTAGGCTCAAGGTTGACTCAGCAGCCTTCAAATATATCTCTTGTCGTTAACGTCAAGTCTCCTTTGAGTGTACTCATTTTCTGGAGCTTCATGGATGCATTTATGTACTTAGAAGAGCTGCAGTGGTGCAGTGGTTAGAATGCAGTACAGCAGGCTACTTCTGATCACCGGTTGCCTGCAGTTTGGCAGTTCTAGTCTCATGGCTCAAAGGTTGATTCAGCCTTCCATCCTTCCGAGATGGGTAAAATGAGGACCCAGATTGTTGAGGGCAATATGCTGACTCTGTAAACTGCTTAGAGAGGGATGCAAAGCACTGTAAAGTGGTATATAAATCTAAGAGCTGGAGTGGGATTCCACTGGTATAACAACTGGTTCAGTTATCATGTGCTTTGTGCACACACGTGCCAAATGCACACTTCGTGCACGCGCTCCACATTTAGAAAAACTCTAATACTTACCTTCTACTGTGAATAAAACAGCTGAGGCATGGCAAACCACTCTGCTGCGCGAATCAGCTGTGCTCTAAACAAAGGCAATAAAGCACAGGAAAGAGCAGGGGCAGGTGGGCCCACATACTCATTGTAGCAAACCAGTTCACTGCCAGCTGATCTTCAGAGCAAGAGGTTCAGCCGAACTGGTCTGAACCGGTAGAATCCCACCCATGCTCTAGACGAGCAAGGGTCTTCAAACATGGCAAGTTTAAGACTTGTGGACTTCAACTCCCAGAATTCCTGGGCTAATATGACTGGAGGAGGAATTCTGGGAGTTGAAGTCCACAAGCCTTAAAGTTGTCAAGTTTGAAGACCCTTGCTCTAGAGCCTCTTCATCAGCACAACAGAGTTCTTGGAATTCATCATGGAATTCCTTCTAATATTCACCTGATTCTTTTCTTTTATTTTCAGCTTCCTTTGGTTTTGACAAAGAGCAGGTTCTCCCATTTCACTTCTCCTCAGAGAAGCTTTATCTGACTCTTGGAAGGTAGACAAGCAACTAGCAGTTAAGGATGGACAGAGGCATGCAGCCATGATAAAA